GAACCCCTCCTTCGTGTCTGTCCCGCCTTGCAGCCCTCCCTCCTTCCCAGCAGCTTCTGAGAGTTCTGGATTTCAGATTTCTCTTTTGCAGGAAATCAGATGTCACACCACCTCTGCCTTCTGTTTAGAAAGTAATAGTCAAGAACAGTTGTGTATTTGAAATAGAGCATGATGCCTTTTTTCTTCCGGTTGTTTTTGCAACCAATTTCAGACCTTTCATGGTTCCATACAAATTTTAATATTTTTGTTCAGCAAGTTCTCATTTAAAATTTTGATAAAATTAATTTGTAAACCATCTGGGTCTGGACTTTGCATTTTGGGAAGATTGCATTTGGGAAGATAGTTTTCTGGGAAGTGACTGGTTTGTTCACTTCATCATGGGTTAGTCTTGGTAGCTATGTTGATCTAGAAATGTATCTATTTATTCGAGATGATTAAATTTATTGGCATATAGCTAAACTTTTCATAGTAATTTTGTATGATATTAATTTATTGATTTATTGCCCACCCTGAAATGTCTTACATTCTAATTGTTTCACAGGTAAGTATCGTCCTGCCTACAGTCCTGGAGCTGGTCAAAGAAACTCCTGAAGCATCTCAGCAAGTTGCTTCTTCTTTTTTTAATATATAAATATTTATTTATTTATGTGTACAAGAACTGGGGCACAGGCAAAAGGTGTAGGGGGTGAGAGACTTCACCCGAGACAGAATGGGGAGCAGAACAGATGGATCTACTGAAATATACTACTGAGGGGAGCAGCAGGTGAGACAGGAGAGGTCTGTTGTACCCTGTGGGTCACCCCCCTGGCCAGGATTGAACTAGGTGCTGCAGACAGCTTCACAGTGCTGTTCTCTAGCCTGTTGTGCCACCAGGAGGGCCCCAGCAAATGCTTCTTTAATGATGTATGTCTGGCCTCTGATAAATGTTGTTTGTAATGAAACTTCACATCCTCACATCCTCAAGCCCTCCCAGACCCCAGCCAGCTCCTGAGGCAGCTGTGTCCAGCCTCCTCTGATAGATGTGCTTCTTGCACATGTCCACCAGGAGCAGGAGGCCTGAACCACACTTCTCTCCCTCAGTGTGTTGACCTGGTCCGGTAGCCTGGCTATCTCCTCCTCCGGTAGCCTGGCTATCTCCTCCTGAATTAGGATGTGATAGGAGACCATGTCACTGCCAACAGCACCAAAAACAGAGGAGGGGAGCTGGCCAGTCTACCAGCTGGCTCTGAAACCAGCCATAGGATGAGCCAGCCTGAGCCCAGGGCCTCACTGCCCACATCTCTGGGCAGCAGAGGCACCTGTTTTTCTAACTAATGGTGTCAAATCAGAATCATTGAAGGGAAGAAATTTTGAAATGACATGGAAATAAAAAACACATATTCCTCAACAACTTAGTGGATCAAAAAGAAAATCAAAAGGGAAGTAAAATCTGGAGACAATAAACTGAAAACAAGATACCAAAATGTGTGGCAGTTCTAAGAGGAAATTTTAGAGTTAAACATACTGATGTTAAAAAAAAAACTAAACAACTTCACATCTCAGGGGACTAGAGGAAGAAGAACAAATAAGCTCAAAGTTGACAGAAGAATGGAATTATGAGTCGTGCAGAAATAAGTAAAAATAGGAAATTAGGATCTGACAAGATGGCGGCCGAGTGAAGATGCCGAAATCATTACGTCCAAGCTCACACAGGAATATAAGACTAAAAACGGATTGTAGACTTACATATTACGAGTATCAACCCAAATGAGAGCACCCTGGACTCACTAGAAGGAAGACTTAGCTATTGGGGAGCTCCAATCCGGGAGTGCCCAGGCACTAGGAAGTGCAGCGGACAGCAAGCTTGCTGTTCTTCGGCCCCTTACTAAAGCCCTGGAGATAAAGAGAGACAGCTCAGCTCGGTGAGTGGAGCCCAGGCTGTGGGGAAAGACTGCAGCTCCCATCAGGGAGCATCCAGGCACCCAGGCACTGGGAAGTGCTGTGGACTGCAGGCTGATTGCTTTTGGCCCTCACTAAAACCCTGGAGGTGAAGAGGGATGGCTCAGCTTGGTGAGTGGAACCCAAGCTGCGGGGAAAGAACTGCTTGGAATGGGCACATAGAGCCTGGGAGGTGGGGAGGAGGAACTGGGGCAGCTGCAAGACTTGCAGATTTTCTAGCCCTCCCTGCATCCTCCCCCACTCCCAGCAGAGGACTGAGACTAACACCATTAAGGCATGGTCAGGACTTGGCGCCATTTTTTAAGGCAGGGTCCGCAAGACTCACAAAGCCTGGGAGGTAAAAGAGGAAAAAAAAAAAAAAGGCTAGACAGGACTCAACCACAGGCCCAACCCTGGGAAACTGCAACAATTGACCAGGAGACTTGCTACTGGTCTACCTGCTTACCGCATCTACCAAAAAAACCTGTGGTAAAGCCCTGGAGTTAGAGAGAACTCAGCTCTGTAAGAGGACCCCAAGTGGTGGGGAAAGACCGATCAGGGAGAGATTGCTTGGAGTGGGCACAAAGAGTCCTAGAGGTGCTGAGGGAGGACTGGCAGCCTGCTCAGCTGAGAGGATTGCAGCCAGTGACCAGCTCAACCACAGGCACAGGGAGACCTACAACACTTCTAACATGCCCAACCCCCACGGGCACATCCAAGCATAGAGGGAACCCGGGACATCAAAAGGCTACAAAGACCAACAGGCACCTTCTAGAGACAAGGACTCAACGTGTTACTGGAAGAAGCTGAACACCACAAGAGACCCCTGACTGTTACTAACCGAGACAATAGACACAATTCTATACAGTGGGGGCTGGAAAAATAGGAGCTATTGAAACAAAGCACAACTCAGAATATCCTCCACAACTGAAGTGCCTGAAAGTCCCTCAGCCATCCCAGGAAGAACATGCAGAAAAAAAATGCCAGTCAACAATAGCAACACCATGTCTCAGCAAATAGAAAGCATTTAGAAAATACACGACAGGGAAAAGAAGACAAACAAATATCCAAGCAAGTCCACAAGGGAAAAAATTCACCACCAAAAGATCAGTCACCAGGAAGCACCAGATAGAGAATTCAGAATCATCATAATAAACAAACAAAAAGAAGATGAGAAGAAAAAAATGATATGAGGCAAGCCATCAAGGAATTGAAGAATGCAAACAAGGAAATGAATGAAAGAAATGAAAAAGAAAAAAAAAAGACATGAGACAAGCAATCACGAATTGAAAAAGGAAAATGAGACATTAAAAAAGGAAATAGAAGAAATGCAGGCAATGAAAAAGTCACTAGAAGAGATAAAGAATGCTGGGAAAAGTAATGAAAACAGAATAGATGAAATGGAAGAATGAATCAGCACCCTCAAAGACACAGAAACAAAGAGAATTAAAAAAGAAAAAGAAAGAGAAGTAAAAAGGAAAAGGAATAAAGAAACACTTCAAGAGCTATCTGACACCAGATAGGAAATATCAGATTTATAGGTAGCCCAGAAGGCGAAGAGAAAGGCCATGGAATAGAGAAAATATTCACAGAGATAATAGGAAGAGAACTTCCCTAATATGAAGATGAAAGTAAACATCCAAGAAGCAAGAACACCAAACTACTATGATGATAGGAGAAATACAGCAAGACACATCACAGTAAAACTACCAAGAATACAATACAAGGAAAAAAAGAATGAGAATGACAAGAAGGAAGAAACAAATAATCTATAAGGGGAAACCGATCAGGCTGACATCAGACTTCTCCGACTAAACACTACGGGCAAGAAGGACAATGACGATACAAGTCTCCAAAACTTATGGGACACATTAAAAGCAGTTATAAAAAGAAAATATATAGCAATACAGGCTCACATAAAGAAACAAGAAATAACTCGAAGAAACAACCTAATCTCCCACCTTAAAGAACTGGCGAGGATGTGGAGAAAAAGGGACTCTCCTGCACTGCTGGTGGGAATGCAAACTGGTACAACCACTATGGAAAACTGTTGGGAGGTTCCTCAAATCCCACGCCTAGGTATCTACCCAAAAGACACAAAAACACTGATTCCCCCCATGTTTATTGTTGTCTTATTTAGAATTGGAAAGACATGGAAACAACCCAAATGCCCCAAAGTGGATGATTGGATTAAAAAGATGTGGTACATATACACAATAGAATATTACTCAGCAACCAAAAAAAAATAAGCACATGCCTTTTGCAGCAACATGGATGGAGCTGGAAGGGATCATGCTTAGTGAAATAAGCCAGAAAGAAGAGGAAAAATACTGGATGATTTCACTCATAGCAGGAAGGAGTATAACGGACCAGGTGAAAAAAAGAAAAAATAATAATGAACAGCTATATACCAGAGACATTTTACAGGGGTGGAGTGAGGAAGGGGCTCAAAAACAGCGGGGGGAGGGACGTGGGGGGGGAGTGCACAGGACTATGGAGATGGCACACAGGTGATTCGGTGATGGGGAGCCCACGGGATTACAACTGAGATGGAAAAAGGCACAAAGTGTCTTAGTTCACTACTTCTCTCCACATCTGTGTCTAATCTGTTTACTGGTGACTTTATTGTTACCACCACAGTCTTTATTCTTAGTTCTCTGGGATTTTTTAAAAAAATCTGATCATTATTTTTAGGGTCCTTTAATTCTCTTTTGATTATGATAAGCATAAACTGTGCTGATTTTTAAAAAAGATTTATTTATTTATACATACAGAGCTGGGGTACAGGCCAGAGGTGTGGGGCTGGTGAGAAGCTTCACGAGAGACAGAGTGGGGAGCAGAACAGGCTGACTGACAAAGTGCACGGCTGGGGGAGCAGCGGGCGGGTCAGGAGAGGGCTGCTGCGCTCTGGGGTCACCTCCGGAGCCGGGGATGGAACTCACACTGAAGCAGCTGTGGCCAGCTTGCAGTGCTGCGCCCCAACCTGTTGTGCCACCAGGGAGGACCTACCGTGCTGATCTTATCATCCTATATCCCAAAATGCACTAGATGAAGGTGTCATGCTCTTGATTTGATATTTGTAATTTATGTATTTTTTCCCTTTGGAAAAAACAGTATTTTGAAGGATCACTTGAGGCCTAAAGTGAAGGTGAATTTCTGCAGACAGCGTATGCATTTATTTCTGAGGGGACCTGGGTGCCACGTCCCCTCCCGCGGCACGTAAGTGAGAAAATCCTTAGAGCTTGGCACGGTCACGGTACTGGGCACACGGGAGGAATACGTGACCCTCCAGGAATAGAAGGATGGCTGATTCTCGAAAGGTCACTGTACTTTTTGATTTGTTTCCTGATTCTGTTGACGCACAATGCACTGAACCAAAAAATGTTATGGATATTTTGCTTCGTTCTAATGATACTCTTGAAAGGAATGTAACTTCCTCTGTTCTCGATACTGATTTAACTCTGAGAAACTCCTCTACAATCTTTAATTCTATTAAGCCATTAACTCCTGTACACCAGGTGGCTTGTGAAAAGAATGGAGAGCGCAATTAGAAGGATTATCAAGGCACAGGTGGTAGATAGGGCATTTGTTTGGCACCACTGAACCTTGAAGATGGGGTGGTTTCCTAGGGCCTCAAGTTGGTTTCGGGCCCCTGACCACATCTCAGAAACAATAAGAAAATGTACTACCTGTCACGCTTCTATTAAAAGAATCCTTGTATCCCTGCATTTGCTTGCCAAGAAAAATTGTATAAATGCTCCGCACTCTTAACAATTGAACGCACTCAGATACGCACGCCTAGAAGCCGTGTCTGTGTGTCACTCATCGCCGATCCTTGCCCACCTGCGCCAGAACTGCCATCCCTGAAACTTGTCTCCTGCTCTCGCTGTGTCGGCCTGCGGCGCCCGGGGTCACTGTCTCGGGGACGTGGCCTTTTCTGAGTTTGGCTCATCTGGGTGGTGGGAACTCAATTGCACGACTGCTCAGCATGCTCATTGATCCTCATTTCACTCTTCCGCAAGAGTTAATGTGTCACGCCCTTGGATAGGTGCAGTGGGTTTCCTCCCCGACTGTCCCCCGAGATTGCGGATTTTTCGGGGTACACTACTGTGACTCCCTAACTTCGTGGCTCCGGGCCTGGTCGGCTGTCTTCAGCAGGTTGTCGAGTGCACTGTGAGTAGCCAGCGGCCGGCTGGTGCCCTGGGGGTGTGAAGTGTGAACACTCTTCACGAGGTCTGGCTCTGTGCACTTAGGCTTTGGGGTCCCTGCACAAAGCTCGTTTCATCCTGTGGAGGGTGAATTCCACCGCATCAGCCTGGCTGGGCTGTTTGCGCACAAGGCGACCGTGTGGGCGCCTGCTTTGCTTCGGGTTTGCTGCATTCTGTAGGCAGCGAGGGGCGTGCCCAGCCCCTGGACAGCCCTGGGCTCTGAGTCTCCAATGGACTCCCCAGGCCTGACACTGCACCCACGTCCTGCCTGGTGGGGGAACGGGAAGTTGGCACCTGTTTCCTCCAGGGTCCGCCTAATACATGTGGATTCTTTTGCCTTAATACAACTTAGCGGTCAATGCAGCGATATACCGGGCCCCGTGGGGCCGTCAGTGGGGCCACGGGCCACCGGGTGGCGGTGGGATGACCGAACAGCCAGACCCTCGTTGCAAGACTCAGCTCTCTGAATTCAGACTCCTACTTTGAGGGTTTCCCTCATTTTCTTGACAGTTGACTCATGAGTTAAAAGACGCAATTCCCATTTTATCAGTTTCTGTTAGTGCAACTTCATACTCACGTTCTAGGTGCTTTACTCAAGGACAGTTACCGGGGCTCTCTCTCAGTGTGTTGCTGGGGAAGGCGTGTCTGCCCCCCTCTGGCTGCGGGGCGCCCGGGCTGCTCCCTGCTGCTCTCTGCACCCAGCCCTTCCCGCCAGCAGGACTCCTTCCTCTGCCCTCTCCAGAGCTGGTGACTGCATTACGCGGCGTTCTGTTAGCCACCAAACAGTCCAGGCCAGCCCCAGCCCCAGTTGCCACCATGTCCGCCCTTAGAGCTCAGCTGCAGGACGCGGGGCTCCGAGCGCTGTCGTCACCATCCTTCGACCTTGGCGTCTGGAGACATCCAGGGCCAAAGACCAGAGAGGCTGTTCCGGGACCAGCAGCTCCAGACCCAGACAGAGGTCGGGGGGCAGAGGCACATCTCAGGTGCGCACTGCCCCCCGCTGCCTCTGGCCAGCAGCCCAGGGGTAACTAAGCAGAGCCCAGTGGTGCCATGGTAGTTTATTACCCCCAGAGCGCGGGGGTGAAGCCCAAGCGGATGCTGGCGGTGAGCAAGAAGCAGCCGGCCGCTGGGGGGTGCGGGGGGTGGCTCGCGGGCCGCGGCCCGGCCTGGCCCGGGGTGGGCGCCGTGGGAGCAGCTCCTCTTTTTCCCAGTCTGGCTCTTCTCCCGGAGTCCAGAGGGCGCACCGACGGCGGGGTACGGCTAGACACCCTCGTTCCCCAGCAGCAGCTGCTGGGCTTTTTCCTGGGGAGAACAGAGCAGCCCCGGTGGGGAAAAGAGAGAAATGCTCTTCTCCAGAGCGGCTTAATTCTGGAGCCAGCCTGGACCAACGTCGTCCGTACAGCTCCTGGTACGAAGAGCCCCGAAGCCTCACTGTGGATGTGGGGGTTCCCTGCCTTTGGGGTCCGGAGACCGCTTGGTCGGGGCTGAGGGCGCTGCACCCGCCCTTTCTCCTCCTAAGCCACCCGCCCTCCAGTCCGGGCTCCCCCGGCCCCGGCACCCACAGTGCACACTCACCTTCTCGGACAAGCATCTCTTCTGGAAGTGCAGGTACAGGGGTGTCAGAGACGCCAGGAGCAGCAGGACCCAGACTCCCAGGAGCACGGACTTGAGGCTTATGAAGAAGGCCTGGGACAGGCCGGCGGCTTGCGGTGTGCGCTCTGCCCGCGCTCACCACCCGGGCCCCCCCCCGCCCGCACCCCACCTCTAGCCTCTGGAGAGGGGAGGAAGGATCCCTGGGTGCAGCGGAGCACGGGCCCGGGGCTCCCCGGCAGCCGGAGAGGGTGCAGGGAGAACACGGGCCCTCCCCGCCCGCACCCCACTGCACCCCGTGATGCTGACGGGGCTCCTCCTCCCAGTGCTCGTGTCTCCCCCGTACCCCACGAGCCTCTGGCCTGTTTGTTGGGGGTGACAGCAGTGCAGCTGGGTGTGGGCGACACACAGGCTTGCTGCGTGAACTTCTTTACATCAAGTTTGGTGGAATCGCCATTTGCTTATAACAACCTATTTTGGGGAGCGCAACCTCCTACCTCCACGTGCACTTGCACCCCAGAACTCCAGTGCGATGCCCCCTCGCCCCCCGCGCCGCACCCTCTGTCCCAAGCACCGTGTGGGCTCCGGGCCAGCGAGCTCCCTGCGTGCCCGTGGCTGCCCCCCGCTGCCCCCCGCTGCCCCCCGTTGCCCCCCGCTGCCCTACCTTCCCCATGGCCACCAGCTGGAGACACTGCTCCCTCCTCCCCTCGGGGCTCTCCGTGATGGGGCTCTGGGTGGGCCAGCTCCTCCAGGGGTTCCCGCTACAGAAGTTCTCACTGTAGAAGTAGCCGTTATCTGAGAAGTTAGCGGACCCGAGGACAATGGCGGCGACGGCGGTGCAGAAGGCCGCCAGGGCCAGCAGCGTCCTCAGGAAGGCCTGGCGGGCAGGGGCGAGGGGGCCGCGGTCAGTCTCTCCCAGAGCCCAGCCCAGGACCAGCGATGGGGTGCCCGGGGAGCGGCACGTGCTGGGGTTTCGGGGTGCCTCCAGCTTCCAGGCCTGGGGTCCACCCCTGGCCTGCCCCCCACTCACCCAGAAGATGCCGCCCCGGTTCTCGTAAATGAAGGCGACGGCTCCGGCCAGCACAGCCTGGGTGGAAGCAGGAGGCGGTCAGCGCGGGCCGGGCCTGCTGCCCTCCACGGTGCCCGCACCTCGCCGCCGGTGACGGGAGCAGCGCCCGCCGCCCCCGGGGACCCACTCACCACGGCCCCCGTCCAGATGGCGGCTCCCGTGCCACGCAGGGCGGAGTAGTAGTACAGGTAGAGAAGACCCCCCAGGACCCCGCTCAGGGCCCCCAGCACCATCTGCACCACCTGGAAGACGGAGACCCAGAGTGGGCGCCCCCTGGGTCCAGAGGCAGTGGGGGACCTGAGGGCTCGTGTCCCAGCTGTGAGAGGGAGGGTGGGAGAGAGAGAAGGGGAGGGGCAGGGAGGGGGACACGGAGGGGCGGGCTGAGGGGCTGAGGGCAGGGGCCGGGAGGGGCCTGGAGGAGGGGCTCAGGCGCACCGCCGGCTTGGGTGGCCGCTGCGCCCTCTCACCCGCTGGCCACCGCCCGCCGGCTGTCCCTGTGGAGCCAAGTGGGGACAGGGCAGGAGAATCTGAGTTCGCATAAGGCGAGAATCTGGCCCAGTGTCATGTGGGAGGCGGTGGCCCCTGGCACAGGGCCCTGGAGGACACTCACCCAGGAGGCCACCAGCAGCCGGCCAGCGGGGGCGCGGCGGGAGGCGCCCAGGGCCCCTGGGTTCAGCAGGGAGCATTTGCTCAGCAGGAGCTTCACCCCCGACTTCTGGTACAGGTGCACGTTGATGTGGGTGGGCTGGGGGGCCCCCGGGGGCTGGGGGGCCCCGGGCCCCGGCTCCCCTGCTGCGGTCAGCATGTCTGAGGCCATCGCCTGAGGGGTGGCAGGAGGAGCGGGCAGAGCCTCTCAGTTTGGGCGCCTGGTCGCATAGCCCTGCCCAGCCAGCTCGAGATCCAGGCCGGATGGCCAGGCTGCTGGGCTCCCTGGGCTGCCCTGACCCCGCCCTCTTCCCATGACCTCCCCTCTGCACGCTCTGTTCCTAGCCCGATTCCACCGGGCCCACCCAGCTCTGCCCCCCAGGGCCCACCCCCACAACCCGCTGACCGGCGAGCTTCTGAAGGGGCCGCAGCTGCCCCACTGCACCCCGGGACACCTCGTGGCCCCTGAATACTGTTTTCCCACCACCTGCCTGAGGCCCAGGGGCACTTGCCCCCGGGGATGGCTGGGGGGAGGTGGGGCCCATGGCGGCTCCTGGACTCCACACAGGGCCGCCCCCGCTTCGCCGCCACCTTCCCGGGGAGCAAGGTCTGTGTGGCCTGCCCCCCACGCCGCCATCTCACTGCTCCCCCAAATGCAGGGGGAGGCGCAGCCCGAGTGAGGAGGCCCCCGTGGCCCTGTGTGCAGGGCTCCGGGGAGGGGCGCGTCTCACCCGGCGAGTCTCACCTGGGGTCCTCCGGCCGGGCACTGCTGGCTGGAGTCTGGGAGGGCCTGCGGGCGGGCAGGAAGGGGCAGGAGCGGGCAGGAAGGGGCAGGAGGGGGCAGGAGGGGGCAGGAGGGTGCACTCCCCGAATCAGAGAGGAAGTGATGGAGGGGAGTGTCCACGCAGCGCGGCTTCCCGGCAGAGGCAGTGGCCGGCCAAGGGGCCTCTCCAGGGCTTTCCAGTGCAGCGGCTCTCGGGCTGTGGCCTGCGGGACAGCGGGCGTGAGGTGGGGCAGGCAGCCTGGGAGCCGCGCTGACCAGCCTGGACACCCTGAGGCCGCCCTCGCCCCTGCTCCCGGGGGGAGGGGCTGCTTGCTGGACACACCTGTGTGCGTGCGTGCCTGGGTGCAGATGTGCGTGTGCTGCACCTCCCCTGGGCTCCCCAGTGGTCATCACCTCGAGGCCGGCCCCCCCAGGAGGGGCCCCTTGGCTCCAGCTGTTTTCTGCGCAGTTTTGAGCTGAAGGTCAGGTCTCCTCCCTCACCCCTCCCCTCTGCCCTGCTCTCTCCCACTGCGGGGTCCTGGCTGCAGGTCAGCTCCTCCCAAGCCAGACCTGTGCTGCCTGGCTGTCTGGCCGTGGCTCCCGGACAGCAGGTGAGCAGGGCAGCCGGCCAGGGGGTCCCCGGGGCGTCAGCACGACCTGCAGATCCCCCAGATCCCACCCACCAGCTTGGTTCCCCCGGGGCTGGCTGGCGGGGGTAGGGGTGAGCTGAGCAGAGGGGCCCTAAGGCAGAGGGCCAGTGAGAGCAGCTGGGCAGAGGAAAGCGTCCAGGCCAGGGGGAAGGGCCGGAGCCCAGAGTCAGGCATCTTCGCGGGCTCTGAGGAGGGTGGGGCTGGGGGACACGGAGCCCAAGGCCGTCCAGGGGCGATGGCCAGGAGCAGGGCTTGTGTGTGAGGGAACCTCAGACTCCCAGCTGCCTGCTGGACATCTGTCCTTCTTACCTCAGAGGAGGCCAGCCAGGCGGTGGCCTCAGGGACCTCCTGGGGTCCGGGGTGTGCGGCCAGTGGATGCTGCAGGCCGGAAGCAGTGTGGAGAGGGCGGGAGAGCCAGCGGACAGCCAGCCTGAGGGTGGCGGAGGAGAGACGCTGAGGTCTCCGGGCGGTGGGGCTCCCCGGACGCCACCTGCGGCCAGGAGGGCCCCCCGCCGCCCCCTGTGAGCGGGGTCAGGCCATTCTGGGCGGAGCCTGAGGACAGACATGGTGGAGAAGCCCTGGCGCCCTGCCAGCCGCGTGATGCCGGCCGGGCCTGAGCAGCCTGCCGGGAGGCTGCTGCTCTCCCTCAGCCCTGCAGCGTCCGCGCCTACACCCTGCCCGCCCCGCCAGCCTCACCCCTGTGCGCCCTCGCCCCCGCAGGCGGGATGGACCAGCACACGGTGACCGTGAATGGGCTGCAGGTGGCCTCGACGCTGGCCCAGCCGACCCACATCAACATCCACATCCACCAGGAGTCGGCGCTGGAGCAGCTGCTGGAGGCGGGGAGCTCCCTCAGGGAATACTTCTCTCGCCCGCGGGACCGCGGCCCCACCGAGGCCCGGGTCCGCTCCATGCAGCTGGCCCTGGGGGTAAGAGGGGCCGGGAACGCTGGTGGGGACGCGCCTCCCGAGGAAGCGCCCCCAACCCTCAGGACTCCCACCTCAAACCCCTACTTGTTTGGAAAGAAGGTTTGGGAGCAGCGTGGGCTCCTCTTTGGGGCAGGCGGGGTTCCAGCCAGAGGAGGGGGGCAGGACCCCTGGAGGTTGGGGGCGCGGAGGGTCTGCAGTGCAAGGCGCGGTGACAGGCACTTGTGGGGAAACCACAGAGAGAGCCCCAGGGATGTAACCTGAAGGCCTGGGCACCCACGGTGGGTCCAGCACTGCGTCACAGCCCAGGCGGATGGGCCACGTCCCGGCAGGGGGCAGCTTTCGGCGTCTGGACTGGGGCGGGACGGTCCAAACAGACCAGCTGAAAGGGGTGCGAGATGTCGGGGCGAGAGACGGGGAGGTGGTGGAGGAGCAGAGAGGGCTGAGAGGCCAGGTCGGTCAGCGCGGGGGTGTGGCCCAGGCACACGGGCTCGGTGGCCGGAGCCCCGAGTGACCAGGGGAGGCCCAGTCGGCTCCGGCAGGGCCCAGGGCTCCCGGCTGCCTCAGAACCTGATGGGCCCAGGGGCTAGAGGACCCGGGGGGCAGAGGAGTCGGGCACAGGCTGTCTGTGCTGGGGCTCCTGGACGGTAGGCGAGTGGACTCGGGGGACAGGGGCTGTGGCCTGGGCGTGATCCATCTCAGGTCAGCACAAGCATGGGGGGCCGGGACCATCTGGCCCTCCGGGAGCAAGTGCTGAGTGCAAGTCCAAGGCTTATGGGGGGTACCTCTGAGAGGAAAAGGGGGGGCTGTCCGGCAGGACGCTGGCTGCCCAGGGCGGTCGGCCCAGTGTGGCCCTTGGGGCTAGAGGTCCCCATTGCCGGGGTGCATGGAGTGTGGAATTGGCTCTGTGCTAGTCCCATGCCCCCCAAAAGTGCACCCTCAGCCTGAAAGGTGAGGGGACCCTGAGCAGCTGGCCCTTGCGGATCATCACCTGTCACACTCCTCTCTGGAATGGCCTGGACAGAGTGGGGCTTCCCTGGGGAGAGCGGGGGGACGACAAAGCACAATAAGTGACGCAGGTGAAAATGAGATGGGGCTGGCGGCAGAATTGGGGGGCGGCAGGAGCCAGGGCTGCCGCACGGGTGTGAGGGGCAGC